GCCCTAATCAAGTTAGTGAGACCCTGTCTCAAAATAAAACATAAAAAGGGCTGGGGATGTGGCTCAGTGGTTAAGCACCCCTGGGTTCAATCCCTGGTATCAAAAAAAAATAAAATATTTCCAAGTGTTAAATAAAGAACTGTTTAAACCCAATTTTATTGTTGGCTACAATAAACGCAAACTAAATTTGTCTTATGTCCAATGGGGTTTCTGGACCAGTCCCATAGCTGCGTATACCAGGAACTCTATTTGCAATATATCAAGAACACAATAAAACTGCCAATTTTTCCTATTTAAAGACATCCACAGAGACTTCAGATGATGAGCTCCCAAAATGAGATGCCGTTAATTACATTTCCAGGTAATTTCAATCCGAAAGGGATCATTTTGCTTTTTCCAGCTGAAAGTAAGTCATTTATTATAGATGAAGGAGCTCAATGCTGGAGTTAGATGAAATATTAGATAACAATACAGAAGCCATTATGCATGTGTCTTGGTCTGCAGTAGCTTTTTTATCAGCTAGTAAAACTGCTTGGTCCAGGGAGTCTTCTTAAGAAGGAGAAACATCGTGGTTTTTAATTCTTCAGCACATCCTTCACAATGTCGATTCAATTTTCTCTTGCTTCAATAAAATAAATTTAATCATGATGTTATTCCAAAAAGCAAAAGAGTTGCCTGCTAGCTAATAAACCCCCCCTCTGAAGACATGCAAGGAGACCCAGGATCAACACAGGACCTATCATAGGGAAAATGCATCTCAATCAGTCTGCCAGAAAAGGATTCGACCAGTAGTATTTCAGAGGTAAGTATTTGTCAGGCTCTTCTCTTGGGCCAGGCACTGTGGGATACAATGTTTGGTAGGTCACAGCTCTGATCTTCAAACACTATATAGTCTGGTAGTCCCTCTTAACGCAGATTCTACAACTTCATCTTAATGTAATTTATGTCAGATCTCCTTCCCACCTTTTAAGTATTTTCTCTGGGCTCAAATTTTTAATTCGATTTCTTTGCATGTGTTTTTAAATACAGAGAGAAATATAGGAAGATTTCACCTGGCTTTCTTTCTGGTCCAAATACATCATTATTGTATAGGAAACCAGTGGCTAAGCTGGTGTGGTGGCTCATGACTAATCTCAGTGATCTGGGAGGCTGAGGCAATAGGATTGCAAGTTCAAGGCCAGCCTCAACAACTTAGCAAGGCCCTCAGAAACTTGGCAAGACCCTGTGGGATGTAGCTCAGTGGTAAAGCACCCTGGGTTCAATCCCCAGTACAGAAAGAAAGAAAGAAAAAATGAAAGGAAGAGGAAGAAAAGAAAGAGAAGGAACCAATGACTTCAACCAACCATTTGTTGTTCTAATTCAAAGTTCAAGGGCAGGTTGAAGGTGGTCTGATCAAGGCTGGCCTGGGATGGCCAGTGCTACTCATCTTGGCTCAACTCTATCTGCAGGTCAGCTGAAGCTCTGCTCTAGGCTGGGCTTGGCTGAGGCAGCTCCAGATGGTATACAGGAGGAGCTCAGATGATGTGCTTGAAAAGCTGCCAGAATTTACTCCCCTCTGAACCAGAAGAGAACCCAAGAATCAGCACATGAGATCCCTAGGGTATGGGTATGAAAGGGTGGCTCTCACTCTGGAAGATGAGGTTCTCTCAAGCTCCCCTCCACTGCAGAGAATAGGACATTAGCCAATGAAGGGTCACCATCTCTCTAAGAAGAGCAACCATCTAAGTAAATCCTGCAGATCTTGTAGAAACTCCAAGGAACGAAATTGCCAAGTCAAAGACATTTGTATTTACATTGATTAAAAGCCTCCTCAAATTCCTGGCACAGAGTAGACAGACACTCCATGAAACTAAAATAGCCACATTGTCTATCAGAAAGCTTGCACCGATCTATCACACACTTTGGAATATCACTGTGGTGGGATGAATGGTGACCCTGAAAAAGACATATCCATTTCCTAATTCTCAGAACTTCTGAACAAGATCTTTTGTGGAAAAAGAATCCTCATAGGTATGATTAATTAAGGGCAGTGAGATTAGGAGATCATGCTGGTTATCTAGGTAGACCTTTAATCCAAAGGCAAGTCTAAGCAAAACAGATCAAATAAAAATTAAACCTTCAGGCAGTGTCTCACACCTGTTATCCCAGCAGCTCGGGAGGCTGAGGCAGGAGGATCACAAGTTCAAAGCCAGCCTCAGCAGTTTTGTGAGACTCTGAACAACACAATGAGACCCTGTCTCTAAATCAAATGCAAAAAAATGACTGGGGATGTGGCTCAGTGGTTGAGCACCCCTGGGTTCAATCCCTGGTACCAGAAAAAAAAAGAAGAAGAAGAAGAAAAGAAATTAAACCAACAACAACAAATGACTGAAGCAGAGGAAATTTGATAGACACATGAAGGGACAAGTGCTGAGCTGGTGGAGGGAGAGAACAGAGGACTTTAGCCACAAGTCCAGGAAAGCAGCATCCATACAATACAGTTCCAATAGGCACAGGAACACATCCTCCCCTGGAGCCTCCAGAGGCCCTACAGTCAGCCAACATCTCAATATTCCAGGTTCCAGGATGGTAAGAACCAATGTCTGTTATTTCAAGACACCAAGTTTGTAGTAATTTGATGGCAGCCTCAGGAAATGAATGCAATCGTTATTATTAAATTAGAGTCTATTGATACAATAGAGAGGAGCCTCAGGAGTCGCAGGCAAACTGATCATGACACAGAAAGAGAGGTTCTGTTCCAGAACCTTGCTGTCAAGGGCAAGCCCTCTTCCCTTCCCTCCCAAACAACGCCCCCAGTGCTGTCTCCAGCTCAGACGTCCTCTTTTGGCAGGTCTGAGACTGAGATCCCCAACAACCAAGCAGGTTCACACACACTTATGTTTGTGCTGAAAACAGCAACTGAAGAATATTTTTTTTTTTTGGTTTCCACACAGGCAATTTCAACACAAATTGATCCAATCCAGGCTTTGAAAAGTTGGTGAGCACTTCCTTTTTAAAAAAATTGTTTCCTTAAAAGCTCAGGTGGTGGCAGATGGAGCCTCACACATCTATATCCATCAAATCATAATTGATCCAGAGAGAGCCTTGCTGGAGAGAGGAGAATGCTTTCCCAGACAGCCTTGGGCCTCTCCCTGGGTGGGGAATTGCCGCACCATCTGGAGGAAGGCAGTAAGTCCTTCGCACAGACACTGTGCAGCTCATTACGAGCCAATGGAAACTTAGATTGGCCTACAACCATGAAGTGACCCCCTTCTGTGTTCCTGTGTCCCAAGCCATGGCTCCCTCAGCCACCAATTTTGATCTAATGAAGCTAAACCCATTTTAAGCTTTAAGTAAGGCTTGCAGGTTAGGAAGTACCTCCAAGTGTTGAATCTCCATTGTTTTATGCTGTTTCTCACAATGAAACTAAGAAAAATGGGACTAGAAGAAGAAACGCAGAGAGAATACATGACTTGTCCAAAGCCCAGACTTCAGATCTACTGATGTCCTCCACATAATGCCTCTGAGGATCCACCCACTCAAGGAAGATGTAAATAAAAAATGAGCCTGATTCTTTCCAGCTTCTTCCCCTTGATGGGAGATCAGGTGTCCCTGGGCTGAAAAGGAATCATTTGTGTGCACCTATGCCAAGGGAGATAGATAGGAAGATATTGGGGGTCATTGTTTCACTTGTTTTTTTCATCACTGTAACCAAAATACCTGACAAGTGCAACTTAGAGGAGGCAAAGTTTATTTGGGGCTAATGGTTTCTGAGGTCTTGGTCCATAGACACCTGACTCCATTGCTCTGGGCCCCTGGTGAGGCAGAGAGCATCATGGAGGAAGGGCCCAGCCAAGGAAAGCACTCAGCTCATGGTGGGGTCAGGAAGGGAGGGGCAGCAGGAAGAATAACCCTTCCAGGACATACCCCTAGTGACCCACCTCCTCCAGCCATTGTCCCCACCTGCCTACAGTTACCACACAGTCAGTCATTCAAATTAGGATGGATGACTAGGTTACAGTTCACACAATCTAATCATTTTATCTCTGAATATTCCTGCATTAACAGGAGATTTGGGGGAACACTTCATATCCAAACAATGAGTCTTCCAAGCTGATAGATATATTCTGATTTGAATATTAGTTAATTGCTTATAGTGTATTTATCTGCATATAGTGAATGAGATTAATTTTAATAAATACTATCCCAGGCTAAACTTCATTTGTGACTACAGATTCACATTATGCATTTTCATTTGGAATATGGATTTGGCCTCTCCCATGAACATCCCTACTCCAGCCTTTCAACAGCCCTCGTTCTTCTGTCGAATTTCTTCTGATAGATCAGGAGGGAGATGGAGAGGCCATATGTATTTTGAAAGTTATTTGCCTAAGTGCATAGCTCTCAAAAAACTTGATTCTGACTTTTCCTTGGCAAGTCATGAATAAGTAAAGTTTTCAGGTGATCATTCTCCACAGAGTTATAAAAAGAAAATTAAAAGCAAGATCAATTGTGCTTTTGAAAAATACTAAAAAAAAAAAAAAAAAAAAAACTCTGCATTTTTTATAACTACCAGAAACCAAGAATTTCTAAAGCTAATTCCTATTTCTGTTCTGTGGGTCATGGTGGCATAAGCATTCTGAATTAAAAGCCAGAGGTCTGTAGTCACATATTCAAATTAATTTATTCAGCAAATAAGCATAGAGTCCACCCTGACTCGGCCAAGTATGTGTTGGGTTTACAGTTGTGGGCAAAACAAAATCTCTGATCTAAAGAAGCATGTTAAACTGGGCAAAGAGAAACAAAGGACAGAGGCCAATTCAGTCTCTGGTTTTCAACAAAACACATCAAGAGGTCAAAGTTCAACCATCTGATGTCCTCTCCAAGACACTGACCTGGAAGATTACAGGAAGCTATCAACACAAACAAATGGCTGGCCTCCCATCTACAACTGAATTTCAGAAAGCCAAGTAAAAAACTTGTCCACGACAGTCGCATGCACAAAAACGCACTGGAAAATGCTATCCTTGCAGAGGAATTTGAGCGGAGGTAGATTGCTCAGAAGGGTGGGCGTCTGGGAGGGAATACACATCCGTCAAGGCCTCCTCCTCCCGGTGCCTGGGAGGCTTCTTCCACTTTCTTGCACCTGTTCTGCTGTTGTATTTGTACACATTCCCAGACACTGTGAGAGGAAAGACCAAAACACAGGGACAGTGAACCACAACCAACCTGCAAAACATTTATGCATTGCACCAAACATTTATTGAGCATTTGCTACACAGCTGACACAGTGACAAGTTTCTCTTCTCAAGTCTTTGGAAACAAAATGAGGTATGGTGTGACTTTACAGACAGTGACATCTGGAAAATTCTCTTGTGGGACGGAACCATTCATTCTGCATCTTGGCTGTGATGGCAGTTATATAAATCTTTACATATGATTCAATTTCATAGAACTATATTTTATATATGTGTGTGTGTGTGTGTATACATATATATTTTTAAATGTATAGTTGTAGATGGACACAATGTCTTTATTTTATTTATTTATGTGGTGCTGAGGATAGAAACCAGTGTCCCACACATGAGAGGCAAGCACTCTACCACTGAGCCACAACCCCAGCCCACATATATATATATTTTAAGTACATGTAAAAGTCAGGCAAGATGGTACATGCCTGTAATCCCAGCAGCTCAGGAGGCTGAGGCAGGAGGATTGCAAGTTTGAGGCCAGCCTCAGCAACTCAGCAAGGCCCTAAGCAACTCAATGAGATCCTGTCTCTAAATATAATACAAAAGAAAAGGGCTGGGGATTTGTCTCAGTGGTTGAGTGCCCCTGGATTCAATCCCCGGTACCAAAAATTAAAAATTAAAAAATTTTAAAAATTAAAAATAAATAAAAAGGACTAAAGATATAACTGAGTGGCAAAGCACCCCTCAGTTCAATCCCTAGCACCAAAAATAAAAAGTACACTTAAAAAAAAAAACTGATGAAATCTGAGTAGTCTGTGGTCTATTACATTGTATGGCACCAATGCCAATTTTCTGGTTTGGGCACTATTAAAAAAAATGACCTTTAAGAGAAGCTTGGTGACAGAGGAGTACATATACAGTAACTCTGTAGTATTTTTGGAAATTGTTTGTGGGTCTGTAATTATTTTAAAAACAAAAGTTAAAAAAAAGCATGTCCCCCCACCCCCCAAAAAATTATCCTCTAATTGTTCTAAGGTTTTACCAACCATGTTCATAGAAATAATAGTGAAATGAGAGTAATATACAAGAGAAAAAGATGCAAGGCAGAGCCTGATGAAGTCAATCGTTTTGTGTGTGTGTGACTAAGATGTAATTAACAAATCAACACAGTAACAGTAATAATAATGGACGACTATGTTGCTTACTACATGCCAAATCCACCCAACATCCCTATGGGGTATTTTATATATTATTAGAAACACTTTAGAAATGAGGAAACTGAGGCACGGAGATGCCGAGCCCCTTGCCATTGCCACCACTGGCAGACCTGGATTGAACCCAGGCAGTCTGGCTGCAGAGCTGTTAGGGTTGGATGTGAGGTGTCCCCCAGAAGCTAACTGGTGAGATGGTGCAGGAAGGTCCAGAGGAGACATGACTGGGTTGTGAGAGCCTTAACCCAACCAGTGAATGGATCCCTGATGGGATTAACTGGGTGGTGGCTGGAGGCAGGTGGGTGTGGCTGGAGGAGGGGGCATTGGTGGCGTGGCTTTGGGGTCTCTATTTGTCTCTGGAGAGTGGAGTCTCTCTCTGCTTCCTGATCACCATGTGAGCTGCTTCCCTCCACCACACTCTTCCTCCATGATGTCCTGCCTCCCCTCGAGCCCGAGGAATGGAGCCTGCTGTCTATGGACTGGAACCTCTGAAACCACGAACCCCACATAAACTTTTCTCTCCTGAAATTGTTCTTGTCAGTCACAACAGCAAAAAAAAGCTAACTAAAACAAGAGCTCTAAATGCTGACCACATAGATTAGGGGGCCATGTCCTATTTTACTTTTAGGGGGTTCCAAGAACAAAATAGTACCTCATGCTTCACTTTCTAAGTCCCACAGAACTTTTGATTAAAATTTTAAAAAAGACATCGTGTCCATCTATAATTAAAAATATTTTTTTTAAAAGTCCATTCATTGAAAAGGTGATTCTTCTGGCAGGGCCACCATGCTGGGGTGGACAATGCACTTCACTGAAAAGCCCCTTCCTCCAAAAAGAAAAGAATCCATTATGCCACACACACACACACACACATACAAAAACAAAAAACAAAAAAACTTGACCATCATTCCATACTTCATCTCAGAACTTGAAAATAAATTGCTGAGGATCAAACATCCAGGTTCAAAATAAGCCAAATGCAGGAGTCCAAACACATGGTAACCAGTCCTCCAGAATGAGAAGATGAAAACTGCTGGGCACTGGCCAAGTGCCAGTCAGGGACTGCAGTAGCTGTTGCCTATACAGATTCGTGGACGCCATTTTTTTTTTTAATGGAAGAACTAGAACAGAGTTTTTGGTGGTGCACTGCTTTTTACCAGGCTGTTCACAGGTAAGCAGGGTCATGAATAGTACTAAGGATGAGGGTTCCTGTGTCAGACTGCCTGGCTTCTCATGGTAACTCTTTCCTCTTATTAAATGATGATTCTGGGCTATCGACCTTACCTCTACCAGTTCACTCATTTTTAAAAATAATGGTAGTATAATTCCAGTGGCTCAGGAGACTGAGGCTGGAGGATCACGAGTTCAAGGCCAGCCTTGGCAATTTTGCAAGGCCTTAAGCAACTCAGAGAGACCTTGTCTCTAAATAAAATACAAAAAAGGGCTGGGGATGTGGCTCAGTGGTTAAGCACCTCTGGGTTCAATACCTGGTACAAAAAAAAAAAAGTCCTTGACATGGGTACAATAATGGTATCTCCATCACAGGAAAGTAGAAATAGAAGGCAATCTCATTGTTGGGAGGATTAAGTAAGACCTGCCATTCTGGCATAGTAATCACTCAGTAAATGTTCACGGATACTTTTAATTGATTCTTGGAAATTAAAACCCATAGGAGCATATTTAATATAAACCAGATTCGAATATGACTAGTGTGTTTTTAATTTAATAAAATATGTTTAAAAGGAGTGACTTTCTTTAGGGAGAACCTAGAAGTTAGTAATAAAGCATCAATAATTTCATGCCAAGATATCCAAAGCTGTCAGGAATTCATTAAGTATCACAAGCTGTTGTAGTACCAAGGAGACTTTCGTGACTAATGCCCCATGTTAAGTGACATTTTGCACAGTGATTTTTACAAGTTAGTACAGTTATGCTTAAACTGCACAATCACCACCATGAAGCAGACAACATAGGTTTTTCAGCTGGGAAAAGGGAGATGCAGGAAGGTTAAATGCTTTGCCCCAAGTTCATTCAGAGCATTGTTGACTGTCCACACTGAAACCCTCATCTTCTAACTTCTCCACCTCCAAGGCTTTTACAGACCCTCCAGCAACTTCCTTCCTATTCCTCCCGAATCCTTGAGGAGTGCAACTGAGTAATGGTGACATCCCCCAAACATCAGTTGCCTCCCATGATTTAACTGACTGCTTTATCTGATCCCTGCCTGGCCCTAAAGGGGATGGCATTAGGACAGATCTCATTTTGCAAAGCATAATAACAAGCAATTTATTCCATATAGTTTAATATCCAAACAGGCAAAATTGGGCTTCACTCAAAAGATAATTAAGCACCATACCTGGATCAATGGCTTCTCCATCAAACATGGTCTCGTACACAATGGTTTCCTTTGAAAAAACAGACTGTTAGCAATAAAGTTGGCTTGATAAAATTAGTTTTGATATGTGTTGAATTCTTTGAGCAGATGACTTCTTATAAATTACCTCATCTTTCTAATCTATAGAGTGCTCAGCCTAGGGACCAAAACTTCTGGGTGTGCTTATCTCCTCCCAATCCCATCCCCCACATCAGTCTACTTGCCATGACCCCTGTTAACTCTGGTCTTTTTTTTTTTTTTTAATTTCCCACATTTTGCAGCCAGGGGTACCAGGGATTGAACTCAGGGGTGCTTAACTACTGAGCCCCATCCCCAGCCCTTTCTTGTATTTTATTTAGAGACAGGGTCTCGCTGAGTTGCTCAGTGCCTTTGCTGTTGGCTGAGGCTGGCTTGGAACTCACAATCCTTCTGCCTCAGCCTCCCGAGCTGATGGGATGATAGGTGTGCACCACCACGCTGGGCTTACTGCCCACATTTTTTGTTGGTGCATTATAGTTGTACATAAAGGTGGGATTTGTTGTTACATATTTATACAAGCACACAATATAACAATATAATTTGGCCAATATCATTTTCTAGTATTTTCTCTTCCCTTGTCCCTCCCCCTGGTCCCTTTCCTCTCTTCTACTGATTTCCCTTCCATTTCCATGAGTTCTTTTCAGTTCCTCTTTTTTTTTTAATGTGAAATTTCATCTTGATGAGAGGTATTACAGGTTACACTATGCCACTCCCCCAAATTCATACATTGGCATTCTAACCCCCAGTACCTAAGGACATCACTCCATTTGGAGATAGGGTTTTTAAAAAGTAAAATGAGGTCCTAGAGGCAGAACTTAATCCAATACAGAAAATGTTTTTATAAAAAGAGGAAATCAGGACATTAAAAGCAAAGACCACCCTCACAAACATGTGAGGACACAGCCAGAAGGCAGCTCTCAGCAAGCCGAGGAGAAAGGACTCAGAAGTACCAAACCTGCCCAACACCCTGATCATGACTTCTAGCATTGGGAACCATGAGAAATAAAGTTCTGTTGTTTAAGCCACCCAGTCTGGTATTTTGTTATAGCAGCTCTTCGCAAACTAATACAGGTGGTTAGGTGGCATCCATTTCCTAAGGGAAGAGGCAGGGGAAAGAAGCCCTGAATGAGAACAAGCTCATGAGACAATGTCATGGTCAGTAAAGACTCAGGTAAAAAGGTCCTTGGAGGCCAGTGGAGAGAAAAATTAGAGATGAAAACTAAAAATGCCCTTCTTTTCTAGCCTACATTTAATTTTCCTAGAACCAGTCTTACCCTGCTACACTTGGTTATGTGAATTATTCAATGAATATGAGTCAGCCAGTTTGAAAATAATTTGCGTGCTCTAGGGCACAGATTTCCCATCTGCTTAAAAACTCAAAGGTTGAAGAACTTATTCAGCTCTATCAAATATATAATTTATTTTCAAATATTGCTTTTATTTTTAACTAATGATGAAAGGTGCAGGATTTCCATTATCTAGAGTTGTTCTGGCTGCAGAAACAGATAAATTGAAATTATGTTATTTCCTTTCTTTGATGCTTGTGTCAATTTACCATATGTCTATATGGAACCTCCATTTGCACAACAACTATGAGGAAAATGTAGCGTGATTTTTTTTTTTTTAACCATAGAGGGATCACAAAAATGCACTTACTGTTAACACTTCTAATTTTTTACTTCTGCTTCCTGTAAAGACCTTTTCTTTCTGATTATTATCCCCTGTTCCAAAACAAATAAACAAAAACAGGTATCTGGTGAGAGGCACGTTAAAAATCACAGAATTTAAGGATAATTGTGTAACAATTGGCAATCTATATCTTACCTGCAATATACTTCATTCGTCTGTAGAGAAAGAAAATTTGACAAAATATCAGCTTCATTATGCTAACACATGGTGAAAAAAATCGATTTCATTCAATAATCAGCACATGACTATTATTACATCATCCTATATTCCCAGGAAAAAAATGAAATATTCTATGAGGAATAATAAAATGGTCTGCATCAACTACCACTACACACTTAATACACCATCAATAAATTCTATTTAGTTAATGAAAATTCAGTTCCAACTCTAATTTTGAAGCTATAATATTTTGTACCCTGAGGAGCTATTTTTGGATAATGATAAAAGCAGCTTCATTCTATACATTTTTTGGATTTTTCTGTCCAGCGTCAGACACATGGAAAGACACACAGATGCTCAGAGAGGGTACCTGCATGGATTACTCATCCTAGGCTCACTCCCAGCAATGGTCAAACAGCTGTCCATCAAAGTACTTGCAAAAAAATAATAAGGGAGAGTTGTTTATTTCTAAATGTATTTGTTTAAAACATCTTCCCACCGAAAATCTGTTGCAAATGTTCTATGATATAATTCAATAATTTGTTGTTACTAAAAAGAAAGGTCCCCAACTGTTTCTGGGATGGAGTGGGTTTGGGATCATTGGTGAAAAGGGTTTTGTATCCCAAATGCTTTCCTCTGTGCCCCACAAAAGCAAAATTAGACAGAGCCCTCAGATTGGAGATCACCGAACCTCAATTGATTTTAACTCTTCACTCAAAAAGTTAGAAAAAAAAATCACATACTTGGATCTGGACTTGGAGACTTCTTTGGTCATTAAATGACAGCACTCCATAAGGTTTCCATATCTCCAAAGCATAAAACACACCCAGGAAACCAATCCAGCAAAGAAAAAAGCCATCAGAGTGAAGATGAAAGGAATGTACCAGTCCCGGGATTTGTATGTGTTGATAGCTGTGTACACGATGGTCAGACCTTTTCTTTGCTGGGAAAATTATTTCAAAGCAAACAGAGCATTAGTTGGTGTTTTCAGAGAGCATCTGTTCACACACACAGTAGCATCCGCACAGAGCCATAATTCCACAGACAATGGGGTATTGACTCAGGCATACTTATTTTTATACTCCACAGGTGATACTGAGAAATACCACAACATAAAGAAGCCACCCAATTAAGAATATAAAGACTTGAATTGCTCAGCCATAAAGAAGAATGAAATTATGGCATTTGCTGGTAAGTGGGTGGAACTGGAGACTATCATGGTAAGTGAAATAAGTCAGTCCCAAAAAACTAGAGGAGGAATGTTCTCTCTGATATGTGGATGCTAATACACAATGGGAGTGGGGTAGAAGTTCATTGGGTTAGACAAAGGGGAATGAAGGGAGAGGAGAGGGATGGGAATGGGAAAGACAGTGGAATGAATGGGACAGAACTTTCCCATGTTCATATATGAACACACGACCAGGGAAACTCCACATCATATCCAACCACAAGAACGGGAAGTTAGACTCCATGTATGTGTGATATGTCAAAATGTACTCTACTGTCTTATATAACTAAAAAGAACAAAAAATTTAAAGACTTGAGCTGCATTCAGTGACCATTCTGTGATCCTAAACAAACTATTTCTCTTTTTGCCCTCAGTCTTCCCATCCATAAAAGGGGGCTGAACTAGATGGTATCTGAGGTCCTTTTAGGTTTACATGCCCCCATTATCTGCTCCACATATAGTTAACCCTTTTGTGCAGTTCAAAGGCCAGTATATCTTGAAAATCATATATTCTGGTGAAAAGATTTACCACCTTTTTTTTGCTTCTATTTCAGAGGATAGAAGACAATAAAATATACCCTACACTGTTCAACAGAATAGACTTCACCTTGGGTGTCTCAGAAGCCATTCTGGAATTCTACGGAAACACTGCATATCTATTTTTTAAATGATAAGCTACTAGAGGGTCTGCTAAGCTTCACAGGGTTGGATTGAAGATGTGATGAGCAGATGAATATATGCCATGTGGTACTGTCCTGGCACTCTGTGGGTGCCCATGACCGTGCATAGCATGGCTGCTACAGAATAATCATTTAAGGTGCCTATTTGCTGAGAATTTAAATTGATAAAATGCATTGAAATTCACTGAATATCAGGCTTTTCTGGTAGGCAGGGCTTTCAGATAATTCAGACACAATTAGCTACTTAGGGGTCCTCTATGTACCATATGCCATTATCACAAATTCTTTTCCACCCATATCATTTATATGAACAGGTGCACACTGTAAAATGTGGCCCGGGTGGTTGGATGGGGGCAGAGCTTTCAAGTGGAAAGGCATTTGGGAGAAGTGTTGCCCTGATCAGACTTCTAACCTTCCTAAATAAAACTGGAATTTACAGTACAGTATTTTCTGCACAGAGACTCAAATTCTATAACTCTTTACTTCAGAACTTGTTGGGGGAGGTGGCGTATTGGCTCTTGTCACATAAATATCTATAATAGCAGTGCCTGTCCTGGGCTTCCTGGATTTGCCGTATTTCAGATTGTCATCAATTACGTGCACCACAAGATGGTACTGCCGCCGCGGTTCAGCTCCAGACTCAAACTTAAAAGGATTCTTCACGATCAATTTTGGAGTATTTGAACCTCGAATTGGATCAAATCCAAAGTGATTGTTCTCATTTCCTTTAAAAGGAATAATTGAAAAATCAGAATCATATTAAGATACATTGATCTCCTCAAGCGACTTTAAATTAGTATTTTAACCCCATAGGGGTTAAAATAAATTTCCATTGTATCCTGAATTCCCAAATCTATACATGGCTTTTAATAAAACTGAGATAAAAATAAGCAATAAACATAGTTGGTTAGAGAATACATTTTCAGGTTAAGATCATGAGTCTGATGTCCACACATGGCTAGCAAAGCTCATGCTAATGTCTAGCAATCCCACCTACCTGATTCCTCTTCCTTAATCTTCTACTCAGAGCTATTGCATTTATACGTTTATCTAGGTCAGTATCAAATGAACCAGTCAAACCACAGAGTATCTATAGATTCCCCTAAGTTGAAGTCTTCCCTATGGCCTTGGGGACATTTTTATAAACAAGATGCACATGGTCCCTTTCTTCATGGAGCTTATTAAGTTATGAAGCAAGGGGAATAGATATCAAAGTAGTCCTCCTAATTAATTGGCAATGTGTTTACTGATCTCCAGGCTCCTGTTCTTTTAGACAAATGAGACAGAAGTGGCCTCTGTGCTTTAAATTGGTCTCTTTTTTATGATGGTTCACAGTACCAAGTAACTTTTTTTTTTTTTTTTTTTTTGGTACTGGGGATTGAACTCAGGGGCACTCAACCACTCAGCCACATCCCCAGCCCTATTTTGCATTTTATTTAGAGACAAGGTCTCACTGAGTTGCTTAGCACCTTGCTGTTGCTGAGGCTGGCTTTGAACTCGAGATACTCCTGTCTCAGCCTCCCAAGCTGCTGAGATTACAGGCATGCACCACCACCCCTGGCCCAAGAAACTTTTTTTATAGTACTTATTGTAGTTCATAACTTTATAATTGTTGCAGTTACTATTAGTTTAATGAGCAATGAGAGACATAAATATAGATCCTTATCTGTCTTGGATACTTCTGTGTACCCATTTCCTAGCACAATGCTTGATATATCATTGGTTTCCAGGAGCTGTCTTCCACAGAAGACAAGATAGTGACTAAAGTTGATTTACATCTGTGCAAATGCAGCAATTATATACCCAAAACATCTATCTTAATGGACTTGTATCTTCAAAGGGAAGGTGGCTGCTCTTCTCAGCCAGCACCATGGACAGCGGACTTAGCTCCTAGTGCAACCCTTAGCCTTTCCCATGCAAAGTACTTTGTGGTCAAAATATCCATGAAGTCACTGATACTCCCATTACAGGAAGAAATAAGTTAGATATGTAGAAATGAAAGTGAGGCCTTGAGGAAACTTAATGCTATAAATATAAACTTAATCATTTCTAGGGTTATGTATCATGCCTTACACAATATAACTAATGTCAATTTGACACATGCACATGATTAAAAGAAATAATTAAATCATCCACCAGAAGCTATCTCAAAGCGCATTTCAAAATCTTGTGAATCTCTGTCATGACAGCTCAGTTTGAAGCCATTGACGTTTGTCCCAGCAACAACGTTGTCAAAAATGACGGCCTTAGAGAGATAGGGTGTGCAGACAGGTGCTTCATCATTCTCATCTTCGATGTCAACAGTGACCTGTCAGGCGATGGGGAGAGAAGAAACATCACATCCACATCGTGTGACTGTTTGTGCACAAAATCAGAAATAAGCAAAACTGGGTAGAGACAGATCATTTGGAATTATTAAATTAAAAAGTCTCCAATTTTGAGTTTGCAGAAATGTTCCTGCAGATTTGGATTCTGGCTGTCAATCAACTAGTCAGTGGTTTATTATTTCCTGGGTCAACTGTGACATTCAGTGTAGCCATTACGGAGAGATGTGGGCTCATTAGAGGAACCTTCGGAAGGCTCGCAAATTATGTAAATGATGACAAAAGGAAAGCTAAAGAACAGTGCCTTGAAAAGTTGTAATCCCTTGAATGCTTTAAATAGCTATGCTTAATGGCAAACATCTTTCTTAACGAAGAGCCTCCTCTTCACTCTTCCTTGAAGTCTGGTTTATTTTATTGGTAACAATACGATCACTTCAAATATGCTCTGACCTTAATCAGAAGGTGTTATCAATCTTTGCTTAATTAAAACACTATACACCAGGAAACTGACTTACCTGGGAAAAGATCAAAATATCAAGGATTTTAAAATGTCAGTGATCGAATGAATGCTAGTCAACCTAGAAAGGTTACCTGCCCACCTCTCAGATGACTCATAACTTTTTCAGCAACATTCACAGAAGAATCCCGGGTGTGCCTACATTTGCAAGTTTTATCTTTTCAAAAATGTTTTCTGTAATGTTTTAACCATGCAGCTAAATTCTTAGGGAGTCATTCATTCTTTAATGCTGCTTCTATAGATTGAATACTTGTGCATCCTATTTAATGTGAGGTATTATAAGTACATGGATTTTAGGGATATTTCTGTGATATAATGAAAATAGCACTGGACTTGGACTTGGAACAGAACTCTTGATTGAAACCTGGGTCACCTACTAGCTTCTTTATTTGGTGTAAGCAGCTTAACCTTGCTTTTCTCAACCTTTAAATATAAGGTCTCTGTGTGTGTGTGTGTGTGTGTGTGTGTGTGTGTGTGTGTGTGGTTTTCAGATGCTTACTTCTTTTTTATTTGTTCTAATTAGTTAAACATGACAGTAGAATGCATTTTGACACAATGTACACATACAGAGCACAACTTCTCCTTCCTCTGGCTGAACATGGTGCAGAGTCACACTTGTAGTGTAATCATACATGTATATAGGGTAATAATGTCCATCTCATTCCACCATTTTTCCTACCCCCAACACTCCCTCCCCTGCTCTAACTCCCTTCTGCCCAATCTAAAGTTCCTGCATTCTTCCCTACCCCTGCTCTCAATTATGGGTCAGCATCCACTCATCAGAGAAAACATTGGTCTTTGGTTTTGGGGGGAATTGTCTTATTTTAGCCTGATATTCTCCAGATCCATCCATTTACCTGCAAATGCCATAATTTCATTCTTCTTTAAGGCTGAGTAATATTCCACTAAAACACAAAATCTTAATCCCTACCATCCTATGACTGGCTGGGGGCACAAATTCATTCCTTTCAATGAATATTGATTCAACATTTTCTATGTGTCAAGCACTGGCCTAGACATAGAAGCTACAGAAGTGAACTGAACAAAGTCCCTGACCTCTAGTGGTGGAGGCAAAGCAATAAACACACTGGCAACTCTATTAGGCAATGTCATACAGTAACTGATGCTATGTGGTCAAGGATATCGAGAACAGCTAACGAGAACTAAGGTGAGACGGTGTTCAGAGAAAGATTTGTTTTTGACCCTTTCTCCTATGTGTGTGTGTGTGTGTGTGTGTGTGTGTATGCACACACGAAAGTTCATGCAATGGGAGATTTACTGGGTGTTCTATTCAGGGGTACTCTATGACTGAGCCCCGTCCTTTTTATTTTATTTATGCATTTATGCATTTTTTGAAATGAGATCTCACGAAATTGCTATGACTGGCCTCAAAGTTGTAATCTTCCTGCCTAAGCTTCCCAAGTCACAAGGATTAGAGGAGTGCACACCACCCCACCCAGCTCCCAGCTCCTATTTCTTCCCTAGTTCCCCATATTTGATATTTGTCCTTTAAGCAAGTATGAACTCATGAAGTACATAGTATTGATGGTGAGGTTTTTGCTTTGCATCAAAGATATCACATTACAAATATATTTTTAAATATTTTCAGTTGTAGATGGACACGATACCTTTATTTTATTTATCTATTTATTTTTCCGTGGTGCTGAGGATCAAACCCAGTGCCTCGCGTGTGCTAGGCAAGTGCTCTACCACTGAGCTACAGCCCCAACCCCGACAAATCTTTTCTGTTCCTATTTCTCCCACACAATGCCCTGTCTGTTCTTTCTATACTGCCATTTCCAGAACTAGTTTGCTATTTCTTCTTGATTCTTAGTACTCCCTAGTATGTATCTATTACTTATTCATTCCCCTAATGATGAGCACATGGATTGCTTCAAATTTCCACCATTACACACAATGTAAAAGGCCTTTACCTACAGGTTTCATTGGGGCAAAGATATTAAAGTGATCATGTGAGTCATGAAGGATATGATTTACAGTCTTAGCGTGTTTGAGAAACAGCAAGACGTTCACATGGCTGGATAGGAGTAAGTAAGAAGGAGAGAGCTAAGAGCTGGTTTTAATTAGCTTTTTTCACTGTTGCAACTAAAAGACCAACCAGAACAACTGTAGAGGAGGAAAAGTTTATTTGGGGGCTCACAGTTTCAGAGGTCTCAGTCCATAGACAGCAGGCTCCATTCCTCGGGGCTCGAGGGGAGGCAGGACATCATGGAGGAAGAGTGTGGTGGAGGGAAGCAGCTCACATAGTGATCAGGAAGCAGAGGGAGACTCCACTCTCCAGAGACAAATAGAGACCCCAAAGCCACGCCCCCAATGCCCCCTCCTCCAGCTACACCCACCTGCCTCCAGCCACCACCCAGTTAATCCCATCAGGGGTTCATTCACTGGTTGGGTTAAGGCTCTCACAACCCAGTCATGTCTCCTCTGGACTTTCTTGCACTGTCTCACACATGAGCTTCTGGGGGACACCTCACATCCAAACCATAACTAGAGCTGAAGATGAAGAGGCAGCCAGAACCAGGTACAGTGCTGAATACCTTTAATCCCAGCAACTCAGGAGGCTGAGGCAGGAGGATAGCGAGTTCGAAGCCAGCCTCAGCAAAAGCCAGGTGCTAAGCAATTCAGTGAGACCCTATCTCTAAAGAAAACACAAAATAGGGCTGGGGAGGTGGCTCAGGGTCAAGTTTAATCCCCAGTATCCCCCCGTCTCCCCCAAAAAAGCGGTAGCTAGAACCTAGATCGTATAACCCCACAGATCTTGCAAATGATGTTAGAGCCTTGCTAAGTGCAATGGGGAACCAATGAAGAGGTTTGAGAAAGAGGTGATTTGTCTTTTAAATGGATCCCTATGGTTACTGTACCCAGAGTAGAATGGAAGGGCACACAAAGAACTGGAGGACTTATGTGTTGAGCCTGCTACACTAGACCAGGTAAGGACGATGGTGACATAACCAGGTGTCATAGTTTGGATGTGAGGTGTTCCCAAAAGCTCCTGTTAATGCAGGGCTTATCATAGGTAAAATAATAATAATAATAATTTGATTGTGTATAACCCAATCCCTTCTTCCTACTTTGAATAGAATGACCTGATGGGATGGGAACTGAAGAAGGTCGTCACTGGGGATGTGTCCTGGAAGGGTGCATCTTCCCTGTGGCCCTTCCCCCGCCCTCTGCTTCTGGGCCCCACCATGAACTGAGCATCTCTCCTCCAGGGTCCCATCTCCTCTCTCTTTCTCTCTGCTTCATATCCACCATGATGTTCTGCCTCAGCTTGGGCCCAGAGCCATGGCGTTGGCACCTGTGGACTGAGAACCTCTGATCCCATGAGCCAAATCAAACTTTTCCTCCTCTGAGTTGTTCTTGTCAGGTATTTTGGTCACGGTGATGCAACCTACTGGTAAAACATCAGAATTTTAGCAGTCGACGGGTGGGAGGTGGAAGGATTCGGGACATTTTGAAAGTAGAGAGGATAGAATTGGTGGCTTTCTTGGAGAATTCAGAGTACCTGATAGTGATGAAGGGCCCAGACTTAATCCTACCTCTTTCAACTGAGTTCCCTTGGATACACTACTTAACTTCCACACCTTGGGAACAGAATTCATCCATCTGTGAAAAAGAATATTAGAGATTGCCCCCATGGAATGGGATTGAGGAATAAATGAAACAATCAAGGACATATCATATTACTTGATGTTTATTAGATTCTTAATAAAAAGTGGATGGGACAATGGTGGTGGTGGTGATGATAGATCCCCAAACTTTGGAAACTACAGACCAGTCTCCCTTTCCTGAACTCCTCTGTATCAACGGCTTGGCATTTGCTATGGGCTCTTTAACTTTTCATGTATTAAAATTTTAAGCTCCCCACGGGCATTCAGGGTACCTTAGGCTTCTTTGTAAACCAAGTTATTGTTCGTAAACACCCAATAAATATTCATTAAAAGGAAGAGGGAATGAACATGTCCCTGCTTTGCATTTAGGCAAAACATAAATTCTTTTTATAAGAACAGAGCCACTTGAAATTTTTTTATTCGATCTGCTTTCCCTTCTGCTCATTCGTAATAAGTGAATGATAATTGCCGGTGGTGTCATTCTCTACTATTTGGGGAGTTCATAAATGTCTACTGGAAAAACTGCCACAGGCAGTTCACTCTCCTAGGTATCATCCCGACACGACTAAGCCACATAATTCCAACTTCGTGACTGTAACTCAGTCCCTGCAAAAGTCACTCTAATTGTTGACGTGAATAGATCTGGTGTTTTCCTCACCATGACACACATAAAACCCAATAACCACAAAAACAGAAATCCGGGGGGCTCTGTACAGCAGGGGGTGGAAAGGTACAGTGACTCACCAGGCCACACAAGGCTCTCATAGTTCCTTCATCGTATTTCTGTCTCTTCTCCAGTGACAAAACCTTGTAGTGATTAATAACACACACCACACAGTAAATTCAGCAGCACTCACTCCTGGTGTCTTCCAAGAGTCCTTTGATGTTGCTACAGTAATTTAGAGGCCCACACCTTCCCTCACTCTGAGGCCAAGGGAATGCACCATGATTAACCACTGTCATTGTCAACATCACCCTCACTAAGAAGCTGCCTGGGTTTGAGTGTGGTTCTAGAAACTTTGTGAGTATCCTCAGGTATGTTTCCTGAACTCTGTGCCTTGGTTTCCTCATCTGTCGGGTGGAAATGATCATAATATTGCCTGCCTCACACATTTAAGATGAGGGTTAAGTAGATGTGTATATGGAGATGGAGATGACCTACTCCTAGGATAAAAACTGGCTCATGCTAAGTGCTCAAGGTATATTTGCTATAATTACCAGTTCACTGATCCAGTGAGAAGGACAGGAGTTAGTATGTCCTTCATTCTCAACCAAGTCTCTGACTTCAATCACAACATGCACAATATCAAAGAAAACATGAGAGTGAAGAGAGAACCTACAGAAAGGTAGGAAAAAATCCTTCCAGTTACTCTTCCAACGAGGGATTAATATCCAGAATATACAAAGAACTCAAAAAACTCAATGCTAAGAAAAAAAAAATGAACAAATGGGCCAAAGAACTAAATAGAAACTTCTCAAAAGAAGAAATACAAATGGCTAGCAAATACATGAAAAAAAAAATGTTCAGCCTCTCTAGCAATCAAAGAAAGGCAAATCAAAACTGCACTATGATTTCATCTCACCCCAATCAGAATGGCAATGATCAAAAACAACAACAATAATAAATGCTACAGAGGATGTGGGGACAATGTCCACTCATATATTGCTGGTGGGAGTGTAAATTAGTACAACCACTCTGGAAAACACTGTGGAGACTCCTCCAAACTCTAGGAATAGAACCACCATCCAACCCAGCTATCCCCCTCCTCAGTATATACCCAAAAGAACTAAACTCAGCCTATCACAGTGAGACACCCATTTCAATGTTTATAGCAGCATGATTCCCAATAGTCAAATTGTGGAATCAACGCAGATGCCCATCAACAAATGAATGGTGATGGACTCAGCCATAAAGAAGAATAAAATCAGGGCATTTGCTGATAAATGGATGGCAATAGAGAAAATCATGCTTCTATACGTGAAATAAGCCAAACTCAGAAACCAAGAGCTGAATGATTTCTCTCATAAGTAGAAGCTAGAGAAAAATAAGGGAAAGAAGGTGGCAGGAAAGGAGCTTGGATATCATAAAGATTTAGGATAGATTAGTAGTGTTGGGAGACCCCCGGCTTCAAAGACTAACTTCTCCATCCCCCAAGAAGAGCCATCCAATGGTGAGCCCTGCTGGCTCACATGATCCTTACTCACCAATCAGACTAGCCCTGCTGGCTCACATGATCCTTACCCACCAATCAGAAAGCACCCCAGCCAACTGTCAAACCCTTCAACCATTAAATTGTCATTAACTGTCAAATCACCCCAGGCTCTATAAATATGCAGAGCTGTTCCTCAATAAATGGGCATTTTCTCCAAGGGCAAGCCTTGATTGTTATTTCAGGTAGAGTAGGAGGAGAACAAGGAAGAGAGAGGAAGGAAGGGAAAGGGGTAGAAATACGGAATGAAATGAACAATTGCTTGTTGCCTACATATACAAATGTACCAGAAGAATTTCACCTGTTCATATATTCAGAAAATAGTAACCAGAAATTAATAAATAAAGGAGTGAAAGGAAGATCAATAGAAGAGAGGAGAGAGACAGGGGGAGGGAAGAGGAAAGAAAAAGGGTGGGGAGGAGGGGGATTGAAATCAAATTCCTTGTGTCATTTTGTCAAAATGAACCCAAATACCATGTTTAATTATAATGCTATAAAAATATAAATAAATAAATAAGACAAATGCAAAGGTTCTAGAACCTTCGAGAAGTAGGAGACATTTGTAAGCTTCTCCATTCCCGATGGCTATTCTTGTTGGACCATTCCCATTAGAACAAATTAGAACATAATCATCTCTCTACTTACTGTGGTCACTCCTGTGCGAGGATGAGCTGTGTCGCAGTCCACGGCTTCCACGGTGAGGTTGTATTGCTTCACAGACTCATAGTCCGGCTGTGTGGTGAGTTCGATCATTCCAGAGAGAGGGTGAATCCAAAATCTCTGGACCACCTGGATGTCTCCCTTGATTATCTTGTAGGTCAGACAGTTGGGTGGGTAGTCTTCATCAATGGCGGTCACTCTTCCAACTTTGTGGAAGGCTGCCAAGAAATTGCAGAGGGTTCATTCTTCTTAGGCGCATGCATTACCCTCAAAAGTTGAACCTGCCTTTGATCTTCAGATAGTTTCACAATTTCTCCAAGGGAGAACCCAGATCCCTTTGGACAATGAAATGTGTTTGAAGACTCCACCTCTATGTGATAGGAGGCACATTTAGAGAGAGTCTGTGGCTACTTTAAACCATGTGGCATAAGTCAAATGATCTGAGTTTTAAAAATAGCACAATACTACTAAGCTTAGTTAATCTTAGTATTATGCTAAGATTAGCATCAGATACTGGTTCACAGAGCAGGCTCTTAAACCAGAAATCAGAGGTTCCAAATCTCAGCCCTGTCACTTGAGAGTATAATTCATTGGCTATTTCTATATCCTCTCTGGACTTTATATTCTTCATTTACAAATTAGGAATAACAACAGTATCTTTCATACATTCTTGTTGTGAGGAATGAATGAGTTAAAATAAATAAAGCCCTCAGGGTAGTGCCTGGTACACAGTAATATACTAAATAATTAGATAATGGTTCATACACATTCTCTCGTTGAATCTTCTCAACAGCTTGACAATATATATACTACTACTATCTCCATTTTACAGTTGCCACATAATCCTCCCCTCAGGACTGTAACTTGGTCCACGTGAAAGTTATTCTGGTGGTGACTGCACCTGTTCTTTTACTTTGAGAGCATGCTCAGGCTTGCTGGTTGAAAGACAAGGGAGGAATCCATGATCCCAATCACTCCCAGACAAAGCCAGGACAGACAAAGCCAACTCTCACAATTTTGAGCAAGTCCCAGAACATGGGCTTATTGCTGTATTGCTCTAATTTTTGTGGAGTTTGTTGTAGAGCATACTGGTGGTAATAGATTACAGTTAGGCTGGGTTTACCTCCAATCACTTTCAATTTAAATCATAAACTCCAGAGCAGATACTTTGCATTCTCCAGTTAGTAAAATACTTCTGAACTGTGTTTGGCTAGCCCACAGATAGAAATGTAGGACATTTGGGCTGCTAATAATCAAGAATAAAGAATGTTAGACCTTGTCTCTAAATAAAATAGAAAAAAAGGGCTGTGGATGTGGCTCAGTGGTTCAGTGCCCCTAGGTTCAATCCTCAGTACAAAAAAAAAAAAAAAGAATAAAAAATTGTGATGAAGAAACCATTTCATGAGCTGTCTCTACCATCTTGGGCAAGCTCATGGATTTCTTTCTCTGATGGCCTCCTTCTGCCAAGATTTGTGAGTCTTTGACAATGTGCATAATTTAAGCAAGAATTGACCACTCAAGACACCAAGAACAGAGAAAACACATTCATGAAAAAGAATGTATTATATGGCAATTCCAGAGTATAAACAATCCAACCTGTTGCTTGTTGGAAATGACCATCCTTAAGAGGAAGGAGTCACCACTGACACAAGACCACACAGAAGAGGGCACAGGTGAAATGGCCATCTCTATTATATAGTCCTGGCTAACATTGGAGCCATTTTCACATTATACCTGGTTAAGTATAATGAGAAGCTTATTCTTCCGTAGGTGTAAAATTAACCTTTCAATAAAAATGGAAAGTTATCTTGAGCATCTTTAGCTGAATTTTAAAATAGAGTAATTATGAAACCTTGTAACTCTGCCAAACTTCCTCATCAAAAACTGCTGGAAATGAAATAAGTTTTCCCTTGTGACTCACAACCCAGAGTGATTTAATTTTCATGTGTTTTCTTCTAGATCATTACTGATAAAAAATTTATTTTTGCCTATGCCAACTCCCCTCCAGAAGTTTTCTTTCAATTTATCACATACCATCAGAACATTTTTCTTTTTTTCTTTTTTTTTACTTTAAATGTTGCTGATTCCCATAATTTTATTAAGGGAAAAAACTTCGTATATATCTCAAGACACATCTAGGTCCCCAATGCTAATAAATTCAGTGTGAGAAAAGACTCCCACCTTAATGAATTTTTAAAATGTCTTCAAGATCTATAGGCTAAATGTTTGATATTCTGAGTACAGTCTGTGTTCAAGGTGGTTTTAAATTTGCAATTTACTCCTCAGAGCAAATCACCACTAAGTTCTGATGATCCTCTGATAAATACCTCCTTGGAAAATCAACACTATGCTAATTTCATTCAGTTTATGTACACTAGAGGCAAAGGTAGAGAAATTTCTTGGGGGTGGGGGGTGCAGGGGTACTGGGGATGAACTCAGGGGCACTTGACCACTGAGCCACCTCCCCAGCCCTATTTTGTATTTTATTTAGAGACAGAGTCTCACTGAGTTGCTTAGGGCCTCGCTAAGTTGCTGAGGCTGGCTTTGAACTCATGATCCTCCTGCTCAGCCTCCCTAGTAGCTGGGATTACAGGTGTGCACCACCATACCTGGCAAGAAATTATTTTTAAGCAAGAAAAATATTTTAGCACATTGTACATCATAGATACTCCATTCAGTAAATGTTACTGGTATTATTGTTATTGGCAATGATAACATGGCTATTTTAGTATGTTTCCTGTAGTTAGCATACATTCAATTATGAGTCCTCAGCTCCTTGAGATAATTATTGTAATCTTCATCTTACAGAGAATTCTCAAAGGTATGTAGAGATTATGTGACTTGTCAAAGGTCATTTAACTAGTGGTAGCAGGGACAGATTTGAGTTCAATCCTATTGGACTCCAGTGTGATTTGATTCCAGTACACAACTAGTTCCATCCTTGAAGTACTGAAATCAAGCCTGGAGGATGCACCCTCCAGAGGTGCTGAGGATACATTCCTCTCTTAGATGTCAGAAAGTGTAGATGTCACTTCTGCTGCCCTTTCCAAATCTAATGCTCCCTGGTCTATGCTAACAAATATGTCCTCATTCATATCTAATTTACAACTGAGATAGATCCCTAACCATGATCTTGACTCCAGACCTAAAGTTTTGAGCTCAACTCTCAGAAGACTTTTAAATTGCATCAGAAATGACTGCATTGCCCCTACTTCTTTAGACCTGGCCCTAGTTTTGAGGCAAAAGAGAAGTGGAGTGAAATAAACTTAATACTGTAGGTTTATCCCTTGCAAAAATCCTAGATCTGATCTCAAGGGAGTCTTTGGGGGAATCATCAGGATGATACATTGAAAATTCACTTGCTCTCTGAAGATGCTCCCTCATCTGCTTGCATTCTGGAGATTTCCATGGTCTGATTCTATCAATCATTCCCTTGAGATCTGATGGTGTTTCCTTGTGGATGCTTGTACATGATAGAAGCAAGGGAACTCTTACCTCCTGATGTTTCCAGAACGGAGAATGAATAGTGTGCAGCTTCAAACACGGGGCTGAAGTCATTGGCAGGAGTGATCTCCACGATGATTGTTACAGTGACTGTGAAATCAAACAGTGACCAGATAAATGCTTTGTTGTGGATAATGTCATCGCCGTTTTATTCTACAAACCAGCAAAACAGGCCCCAAGATGCAGGATTAGCAGAGGATTCTGAAACTACAACAGGATTCTCTTTGCTTACAAATGATCCCTGTTCCCAGACTGTGCTCTCTAGAGAATTCTAGTGCTAGCCAAAGCAATTTTGTCAAAGACATATAATGCACTACATTTCATATTCTATTTTATATAATAGATATGTGTGTATCCATATATATCATATACAAGTGCATAATTATATTTTATATATATATAAATTTTGGGGGGTACCAGGGATTGAACCCAGTGGCACTCTACTACGGAGCCACATCCCCATCTCTTTATTTTTTTCTTTGTTTTTAGTTTATTTTCTAACTTATACATTAAAAATTACACTTATTTTTACATATTAATGGAGTAGTATGTGCTTTATTTATTTATTTTAATTTGTTATATATGACAGCAGAATGCATTTCAATTTCAGAATGCATAGTACACATATATGTACTTGGGGTAATGATGTCCATCTCATTCCATCATCTTTCCCACCCCCACTCCTTCCCTCCCCCTCCTTCCCCTTTGCCCTATCTAAAGTTCCTCCATTCCTCCCATGTTCCCCGCCCCACATCCACATTATGGATCAGCATCCACTTACCAGAGAAAACATTCGGCACTTGGTTTTTTGGGATTGGCTTACTTCACTCAGCATAATATTCTCCAACTCCATCCATTTACTGGCAAATGCCGTGGTTTTTAATGCTGAGTAATATTCCACTGTGTATATATACCACATTTTCTTTATTCTATTCATCTACTGAAAGGCATCTAGATTGGTTCCACAATTTATCTATTGTGAATTGTCCAGCTCTGTATTTTTTTGTATTGAGACAGTTGCTTTGGACCTAATGAAATTGCTAAGGCTGGCTTTGAACTTGCAATCCTCTGCCTCAGCCTCCCAAGCAGCTGACTTTACAGGCATGCACCACCCTGCCCAGCTAGGGGAAATTTTTTAATAAAAGTAAGAAAATAATTAACATTTACCATGCAAGGTCACTGACTTGATATTGGGATTATTGTCTTAGTATCACAGGTAAGAAACTCAGATTCACAAAATTAAATCTGTAGCCAGTGGCCACAAAGCTAATAAGCAAATGAGTGGTTATTAGAACAAGATGTGTCTACCAATATCTCCCAAAATATCTTCTCTGAGATGTTAATGTTTCAAATACAAAAATCTTAAATTGAATAAAAAGATTTCTTTATGGCAAGACTTTTTAAAAGTTCCAATACACCCTTATAAATTTTGAATCCCCAGGTATACATAGCTCCACAAACTCTTTGACCATGGACTTCTCTCTTAGTAGTTTATCTTGTAGTATTTATGTTTTGAAAAATGCTTATATACATCTTCTCCTGAAAGTCCATGTCATATATGACAAACAGAAAATATAGTCTGGCACCCATACAACTTTTGCATCAGGAAATAAAGAATGCCCACAGATTCCCTGTTGCAAAAGTTCTATGGATCCCAGATTAAATTTTGGTATATCCCAGATACTTTGGTACATCTTATTACATGCTTTTTTTCAAGGGATAGAAGCTACAGCTTTCATCACAATCTCAAAGATGTCCATGACTCCCAAGAAAGCTCAGAGTGTTGTTCTATAAATAACATAATTACAAGTGATTTAGGTCAAAGTCTATATATTTCCTTCAATAAATTCAATTTCCATGTTGCAAGAGCAGGTACCATTTACAGATCTGCTATCCTATGATTTTCCTGCAACCGTAAAGACTCAACATTGTGCTAATTAGATGGCCCATAAAAACAGACTGAAGCACGTGTGTGGTGTTCCAAGCTCCCTTTATGAGCAGCTGCTGTGAATGTTTTGGGGTGTGAGGACCAGAGGGGATATGGATCTATTACTGGTAGAGATTTTATCTTCCTTTTCCAGATTGTGAAAAGGCTCAAATCTGGTGAGAGTGGCAAATTCTTTTTAGTTAGTTTGACCATAAGAATGAGTAGTAGCAAAGTACTCTGGCCCAGACCGAGATGAATGAAGGCAAGATGGGTGGGAATAGGAAAGACAGTAGAATGAACTGAACGGAACTTTCCTACGTCCATGTGAGAACACAACACAGGGAAACTCCACAGCACCTACAATCACAAGAATGGGATCCTAATCAGAATATGTTATCCTCTGGGTATGCATGATATGTGAAAAGGTACTCTACTGACATGGATATCTAAAAAGAACAAAGAAACAGGGGCTGGGGTTGGGCTCAGTGGTAGAGCGCTCACCTAGCATGCACGAGGCACTGGGTTCGATCCTCAGCACCACATAAATGTAAAATAAAGATATTGCATCCACTAAAACTTAAGAATAAATTTTTTTAAAAAAAAGAACAAACAAAAAAAGAATGAGTAGCTACAAGAAAAAGCATCCATCCTGTAAGGGCAGTTGGGCTACGTAATAAACTGTGGCTTAAGACTCTACTGTGGGAATCAGAGTGTCCACGTGAGAAAACCTCTGGGCACGCTGTCATGCTTAGGTCCCTGACTGCTGCACGTTGCTTCTCCATAGCTGGGTGATTTAGGCCTACGAATCACCTTTTCAAACTCAACTCCACTAAAATACTCTATCAGTGAGTCAAGATGGATTGAAAGGGTCCTAGGTGTGTCAACGGACACTCAGCATTAAGTGCCCTTGGGTTGCAAACATATAGATGCACTCCACACTTCTAGGTCCATGAAAGACACAGCACTCTTTCCTTCTCAAGCCAACAATCCAGGCAACCACCACCAATGACTCAAAGTTGTCACAAGACAGGACACCCAAGTAAATGCCCCCCCACAATCTAGGCTCTCCCTACCAAGCATTGACAATCTACTGTTAAACCTACACTTGCCACCAAAATATCCACCTCTTGGACATCCTTAATGCCAACCACCTGATGGATTGCTTGCTACCACACCAGGTACAAGGACAAGGCATCCTTCACATTAATGAAACATGTAACCGAAAATTTTGAGAATCTCTATTTTCATAAATAACTCTGTAGCCAATAAATTCAATCCTAGACTGGTAATATGTAGTGAACATGTAAATGGCCCTTTGAGGGGCATTTGATGTGTGTGCTCATGAGTTCAACAATAAGCAAAGAGAAGCAGGTGAGAGGCAGTGGACTGGCCTCCCTCGTTCGCTAAGTACTCCTCTCTAAATACTAAGTACTCCACTCGCTAAGTACTCCACAGCGCGCAATTAAAATATGTATTAAACACTGGTTTGCAATTTGCAAATGATGACTATTAAATCCTCCAAAATGCCAGCCAAGGGTTTTATAGTCATAGAGTCTAGGTGAACTTAGTCTCACTACACCAAAGATCCATCCCACCCCAGGCTGGCCCAAAATGGTGGTGTAGTCACAAGAAAACTAAATGGCAGAGAGAGATAACCACAGGGCACTTTCATGTAGGGGATGAGCTGTGGGACTTGGCATGTGACTCATGACTAATGGCTCTACCTGGATCATCTAAAATAATTCCAATAAGATATTGTTTGAAATATTCTAATCATCTATATATTTTGATTATGTTTTTTGATGGTTGGGTTTTTTTGTTTTGTTTTGTTTTGCTATTTTTTTTTGGGGGGGGGTACTGGGGATTGAACTGAGGGGTACTTGACCACTGAGCCACATCCCCAGCCCTTTTTTATATTTTATTTAGAAACAGGGTCTCACTGAGTTGCTTAGTGCCTCACTAAGTTGCTGAGGCTGGCTTTGAACTCACGATCCTCCCATCTCAGCCTCCCGAGCCACTGGTATTACAGGTGAGCACCACTATTTGTTGACTTATACCTGACTCTTTCTAATTAAGAGGTGATTGGCAATAATACACATGAAGTCATCCAAGCTTTAAGCATCAGTTGGGTTTGTCCACCCACTGCCCCTTCTAGCTTCAAGGGTCTCTAGCCAGAGCTTTATTTAAGAACTGTGTATCCTTTAAGTGCTGCTAAAGGGTAAAAAAAAACCTCCCAGATCTAATGCAAACTTCCAACAGAAGTCTAATTCTCCCCTTCCTCTTTTGCCTAACAAAAGTATCCCAAATATGACAAATCTTTACATTTCAAAATCTAAAGTGAAGAGGCTAAAGAATAGGAACTTATTGCTCCTTGAAAAGTTTATCAAGATTACCTGTATGGGACGGACGCAGGTCATCAAATACTGAAATCATCATCTCATAGATATGTCCTGCGGCAACCACCTCTGGGTTCTCATAATCCAAATCTTGGGCAACCTTAGAGAACAACATTATTTCAGCTAAAAAGACCAATTTTTTAATGCACTTGTTCTAAGTAATAAACCACTCTAAAAAAGTCAAGTGTATGGTTATTTTCATTTCCTAGGGATGACACCCAAGACTGGCCGAGGCTGACACAGAAAAGTCAACGTTTTTGGTGGAACAAAGGGACATCTTGGATTTTCATCCAGAGAAGCTGACTTTTGAGAAAACATCCTGACAGAGTAAAACAAAAAACAAACAAAAAAAATTCAGGATCATATCTGGTCTTCATTTTACCTTAGGAAAAAATGTTTAAGAGGAAAAAATATTTTGAACAGGCTTTGGAAGTAATATAATATTATGAAAACAGAATTTATTTCTATTAATGGTAAACTTCATTGTATTTCAAAAATATTTATTGGGTACTAATTAGATGCCAGTTACAATCAGAGGTACTAGGGATATAGAAGTAAATAAGATGAGCCAGGAGTGGTGGCACACGTGGCTTGGGAGGCTGAGGCAGGAGGATTGTGAGTTCAAAGCCAGACTCAGCAAAAGCAAGGCACAAAACAACTCAGTGAGACCCTGTCTCTAAATAAAATACAGAATAGGTCTGGGGATGTGTCTCAGTTGTCATGTGCCCCTGAGTTCAATCCCCAGTATCAAAAAAAAAATAGTTAATATACTCAGCCATAAAGAATAATGAAATTATGTCATTTGCCTGTAAATGGATGGAGCTGGAAACTATAATTCTAAGTGAAATAAACCAGTCCCAAAAATCTAAAGGTCAAATGTTCTCTAGCATACAGATGCTAACCCACAATGTGGGGAGAGGGATGGAGAATGGAAGGTCACCAGATTAGACAAAAGGGAATGAAAGGAAGGGATGGGGGATGGGAATAGAAGAAACAGTGGAATGAATGGGACAGAACTTTCCTAGGCTCATATATGAACACACGACCAGGGAAACTCCACATCATGTCCAACCACAAGAATGGGAAGTTAGACTCCATGTACATATGATATGTCAAAATGCACTCTACTGCCACATATAACTAAAAAAAACAAATAAAAAAATTTAAAATAAGTAAATAAATATGAACCCCTTATAAATGTACATATCTTGCCCTCTAATAAGAGCAACAACCAAACAGACAGTTACAACAAAGTCTATTAAGAGATGTACAACCTATCATGTGAATCCTTAGCAGAGAGAACTAAGCCAGTTAAGGTGGTAAATGAAAGCTCTTAGGAATAAGTGACATTTAATACCTAAAGATAATTATTCAAACATAGAGTTTAATTAGAGATAAGTGATGAATGGAGGTAGTTATTCAGATACAAAAGAAATATATGTAAAGGCCCAAATCTTGCCTGTAATCCCAGCAGCCCTGGAGGCTGAGACAGGAGGATCCTGAGTTCAAAGCCAGCCTCAGCAAAAGCGAGGTGCTAAGCAACTCAGCAAGACCCTGTCTCTAAATAAAATACAAAATAGGGCTGGGGATGTGGCTCAGTGGTAAAGTGCCCCTGAGTTCAATCCCTGGTACCACCCACCCCCAAAAAAATCATATTTACAAAACTTCCATCTTCATTCAAAGTTAATTATTTTTAAAAAATAAAGAACTCAAGAATCCTCTTGGTTCCGGCCTAAACTTCCAAAATACATAATATATGGAAACACTCAGCTTGTACCTTGTGGACTTCATCAAGAAAATGTGGGATGAGAGCCAAAGAAAGAAAAAAGTCATCAATGACTTTCTCAGCTATATTTTCTGGCTAAGGGCAGGAAAGGAGGTTGATGATATTTGGGATAAGGAACCAAACTGGCACTTCGAAATAAAGACCTCTGGAATTTTGAAGTTAGCAAAGGGATTTCTTCTAATCTTCTAAGGCAGAATGACATGCTGAGAAATTAAAAAAAAAAAAAAAAAACATGTTCATACTCTGTCAATGGAAAGTTTAGAATCTCCAGAGGGTAGATAGAGGAGGAACCCATCAACCACTCCCAAAGCCAGAAGAATAAGCCTTCACCACGCATGGAGTCACACAGAATTCTCTCTAAGGAAATCAGGGTGTTTTTTCAGCTTCTGATTTCCCCAGCTAAATAGGAAGTAAATTATTTTGTGCTCATTATAAACAAAGAGAAAATGAGGGCAGACAAGCAGCAAGATAACGAAGGATTCATCCAAATGCCTTCCAGCAAGACAGCAAAGGAGTTGAGAATTCCCCTCTGCGGTCTCAGCTCCTCTTCCAACTCCATTCCAACTGTGACCAAGAAAGCCTCTCATCTCCTTGGGAAAGCTCCCTGGAGCTACAGTAGCTGGAACTTACCCGGATGGAATGTTCAGCCTTTGGCACTTGCTCAAAGAGTTGTCCAGAACCGACTGGGCCTGCACTTGGAGCGTAATGGATTGCATTAGGAGGCTCATCGAGGTCATGACACGAGAGTTTTGCAACCACGGTGTCTTTCGCAATCACCTCCTGGCCTGTGTACCTGTTTTATTGTTTAGGAAGAAAAAATCATTTTAGATGGACATTCTTCAGAAAGGTAATGCTTTCCCATATCTGCTAGTATGGGGGGGAATGCCTTGGTGCAGATGTCCCCCTTTATCCTGGAGCAGACAGAGCAGTGACTTTGGTGAGACTTCCTGCTTTGGGGAGACTGTTCCTTTCTTCACCCCAGTGGGCCCTTGCTTGGGATGGGCAGTTCATCGAGGCTTGCACGGGGATCTCGCTTCCCCAAAAGCTTCCTCTCTCTAAATTCTAGTCATCCTTTGACAATCTTCCCTGTTCCCTGATTACCCACAAGCCTTTCCTCTTGACAACTAAAACACAGCACCCAGGACTCAGTTGTCTTGTTCCGTGTGTGTGTGTGTGTGTGTTTGTTACTGTTGTTTTCTTATGTATGATTATATTCTACCTGACTAGGTAGAACATCCTTACAGCAAATGATCGTGACAAATACTCATCCCGTCACCTCCAGTGCTCTGGGTAGGTGTTTAATTAGTCAACTATGATCCTCCTGGAGGAAGGAGAAGGAGATGAAGAGAAGAAGAAAAGATTTCATTTTTGAGTGTGCCTAGTCTTGTACTAAACAAATTCCAAGCACAGATCAAATTTGATCCTTAAACAATGCCATGAAGTAGGTGTGATCATCCCTATTGATAAATTAGAATACTTGGGGCCCCCATGGGACCCCAAAAGGTAGGCTAAATTTTTTTATTTTTTATTTTTTCAGAAATACAGGGGATTGGGCTGGGGATGTGGCTCAAGTGGTAGCGCACTCGCCTGGCATGTGCGTGGCGCTGGGTTCGATCCTCAGCACCACATACAAATAAAGATGTTGTGTCTGCTGAAAACTAAAAAATAAATATTAAAAAATTCTCTCTCTCTCTCTCAAAAAAAAAAAAAGAAAAGAAAGAAATACTGGGGATTAAACCAAGTGGTGCCCTACCACTCACTGTATATGTCTCCAGCCCTTTTAATTTTTTTATTTTGAGATAGGATCTCACTAACTTGCTGAGACTGGCCTCAAACTTGTGATCCTCCTGCCTCAGCCTCCCAAGTTGCTGGGATTACAGGCATGCCCCTGATAGAGTAAGTTATGTCATTTTAAAAAGAAAAACTGTCCCAGTGGTTCAGGAGGCTGAGGCGGGAAGATCACGAGTTCAAAGCCAGCCTCATCAACAGTGAGGCAGTAAGCAACTCAGTGAGACTTTGTCTCTCTATAAAAAAATAATGTATATATTCAAAAAAGGCTTGGAATGTGGCTCAGTGGCTGAATATCCTGAGTTTAATCACCAGTTTAAAAAAAAAAAAAACTGGAGATTAAGGACTTAGGTAAATTATCAAGATCACACAGTTAATAGCCATAGTACCAGAATTCCAAGCTCAGGGCTATGACTCTAAATCTCTAGCCTGTATCATTTGCTAACTGTCAGATTTTGGAAACCCAGCTTTCAGTCATGAACAGATCAACAGGTCATTTTTTGAGGACCATGACATAATGCTAGACAAGAGTCAACTTCATGAAAAACCACGTCCAGGTAGCCAATAAACACAGCACTGCCTTAAACCACTCTGAATTCTTGCCCCTGTCCATCCCCCAACCCCATCTTAGCCCACCTAATCAGATATCGATCACAGAAAGGTGCGTTGTCATTAATGCCACGAATATAGGTCGTCACTGGAATTGCTGCACATCTCTGGTCACCATCACAAGCCTTAATGGAGAAGGACTGAACTCTTGCAAAACCAGCTGTCTCCACATCCAGACGGGTGGCAGTAACCACAGTCCCACGTTCTGTAACGACACAGCACATCTTGCTCCAACTGGCCCAGGATATCATTTTCAAAATTACTTTATTATATATGTAGCTATGGAGAAGATAAAGTGCAGATTCTGCCCCATTCGTTAGAACTAAGAGCTGATTCAAAGCGCAGGCACGGTGTTTAATTATTGATGCCAAAATGTACGGTTCGTATTAGTTCACTTGTAGCAAAAACAAAACTGGTTTTGGCTTCAGGGAACAGAGAAGAGTCTCTGGAAGAAGAGCCCCTTATTTTAGGATGTGAAGCATGTGTAGGACCAAGAAATGGTAGTGAATAGGAGGAGATTATTGCTGGAGGAGAGAACATCGTAAATGGATAAAAGTACTGGATTAGGACTCCTTAAACTCCTATGGACAGGTCTTGAAAAACTAGGGACAAGGCAGCAGTCTAGTTGTTAGCTTGTAGAGTAATGGACACTCAGTCACAAGGATCAGGATGAGGATGGAGAAATAGACAAGGACCAGAGGAAGCAGTATCTCCATGGTGAGACAGGATGTCCCGATTGCCACCCAAGGGCAAAGGGAACATCTACAGGGAAGGAAAATAACTCAATTTGACTTCTAGGAAAAAAAATCATTCTAGCTCTTCTATGGAGATTCCTGCAGGCGTTCGAAGTGAGAACAGAAACCCAGTTAAGAGGATCTGCACAGAAATGCTGGTGAGAGGGGATGGTGGCTCTCGGTTGGGGCTCTACCAAAAGCAGAATCTGAGATGAGGATTGGAGTGCAGGTCCTTCATTTGGGAGGTGACCCAGGGCAACGCGGCATGGGGGAAGTGACACAGGGAAGACAAACTCCCACTAAAATGTGCATTATTAAGCAAATTACCACTGTAAGCAAATAGAGCTTAATATCACTGGGGACCTCTGGGAGCCAGTGCAGAACACACAGTCGAAATTGGATCGTGCCAGGGCAAAGAGCTGGAATGTTTATACGCCCATCCCATTCGTTGGCTGGGAGCTCCCAAGGGGTAGAATTTCTCCATTATTTTCAACCTGCTGTGGGAGGGACTGGGGAGAGCAGCTGTCAGAACCCAAATAATCCCTCAAGCAAAGAAATCTAGATATTGGCAATTGGAAGCCAGGCTTGCTGTTCTAAAATGTTATAACCTAAGGAGATATGAATGGGACGATGACATCATCTGCCACAGTGGCAAAGCCAGCCTCCAGCCCTAGAAGCACCCAGAGATACCTTACAATCTGACCCGCCCCCCGGGGCTCAGCCACTGCTGATTGGATGAGACGCAAGTGTCGCTACTCTAGGAAGTCCAATCAGATTCTCCCTCGCACACATACACAAATTGACCTTGGAGCAGAGAGAACTGATTAGATGACACGTGAGTGACCAGGTGTAGGAAGTCCAATCAGAGTCTTCCTAAAAAAAAAAAAAAAAAATTGACCTGGAAGCCGGGAAAACTGAATTAGATCTCAGAAGATGAGCTGGAAGCTGGAAGAATAAGTCAAGTGAAGGTCAAAGTCTGCCCTTTTGTGGCAGTAATGAAGAGCCACGTGTTATCTCATAAGTGAACAAAGAAATACGTCTTGCAGAGAATTATTCAACAGGCGTGTATGAAGCATATACTGCATGCTTCATATTGGGGCTCTGGCAATCATCTGTACCCTCAAGAAACAATCTGTGGGGAAGATATGCATAAAAACAGGTGATTGCAATTGTATATGATACGACAGAATTTGCTGAGAACAGTTGTCAACCCACCTTTATCAACTGCAAAGTAAACATTCTGTGGATCTAGTTCAAAGGTTAAATCTCCCAAGTTATCTTCATCAGTTGCCTGGCATGCTCCAATTGTTTTCCCAATTGGGATTTCTTCATCCAGTGTGATGTTGGCTTTATTGTGCTGAGTTGAGTTTATAGAAGTAACCCTCAAGACAGCGTTTTCAATACTGAATAAACTTTTTTAAAAAAAGAAAAGATGAATAGAGTGGAATTTGCTTGTTGTCTTTTCTATAACTTACAATGCTAAAGGAGTAGGGGATTAAAGATAGTAGAGATAGAAATGGAAAGAATGTTCACGACATTGATAGCTGACTTATTTATTGAGCCCTTACCTATAGTTTAAACAAAATTCTAAGCACGTTTCATGAGTTACCTCATTTTTATTTCTCACAGAAGCCCTAGGAAGTATGTCTCCATTTTACGGATTTAGAAACAGAATTCAAGAAATTAAACAGCTTTCAGAAGTAAATATTAAGATGGCTGAGACAGGACTTGACCCCCAGGCCTGTTTTGCTCTAGAGGTTGCACATTGATCATTGTTGGGGGGGAGGTTGTTGTTGCTTGTTTGCTTGTTTGAATGAACCCAAGGGTGCTTAATCTCTGAGCCACATCCCCACCCCTTTTTTTACATTATTTAGAGACAAGTTCTTACTAAGTTGCATAGAGCCTCTGTAAGTTGCTGAGGCTGGCTTTGAACTTGCAATTCTCCTGCCTCAGCTTCCTGAACCACTGGAACTATAGGCATGTGCTACAGTACCTGGCCAATGCTGCTGTTCTGATTCATGTATTCATTGTGTAATGGAAAAATCAGGTTAACTACCATACCCATCACCTTAAACTTACCATTTCTTCTGTAGTAAAACTCAGCTTCATAGAATTGCTGCCCCTCAACATAGTTTTATAAACTCTCTGGTGATAATATTAACCAGAATCTCCCTTGAGGGCAGTGATAGATAAGCCAGATGTCAGAACACACTGCACAAAAACATCTTGTTCTGTTGCAATTACATTTTATCCTTTAAAACTACTTTACTCTCAATTTTTAAGAAAGAATTCTCCTTGGCATCTATATCTTAAGTGGCTGTCTACATTTTACTTGCTTGTTATTCTTCTCTCCAAAAAAAAAATAAATAAATAACAAAATAGAAGAAGAAAGAACACAGAAGAGAAAAACGACATAATCAAATTCAATTTTCAAGGCCAAATACTATGTTTTACATTTTGTTTCCTTACCTGCAGGTAAGACTGGGGTCCTTATTGTTGACATTGATGAGGAAAATCTTTAGATTTCCAGTGGTAAAGAGTCCTCCAGCATCAACCACTTTAATAACAAGTGAAAAACTAAAGGCACAGTCACAAGAAACACAGCTGAGATTTTATAGTAACAAACAGGCTTTCTCAGAAATAGAACCTACTGTGTTTAACGGACTGGCTATAACAATTGATTTTATCTAGTTAAAATGTTGGTCAAACCATTTATTTTAGTGATCGGAAATGGCTCATGCTTTTGTTAAGAAACAAACTAGTCAAATTGGTTGAAGGGGCAGACGTGAATTTAGAAAATTTTGGCAGGGGGGAGACCAGGAATTGAACTCAGAGGTGCTTTACTACTGAGCCACATCCCCAGGTACCCCCTACCCCCTCTTTTTTCAATTGTTTATTTTGAGCAGGGTCTCATTAAGTCACTTAGGGCCTTGCTAAGTTGCTAAGGCTGGTTTTGAACTCTTAATCCTCCTGCCTTAGCCTCCTGAGCCACTGGGATTACAGGCTTGAGCCATAGTAAAAAAAAAAAAAAATGGAATTACTTAGCATATGGCTATTGGCTATGGTTCTTTCAAATGTTGTTTTTTTAATATGGGAAACTGACAGAGGCAAGGAGAAGATGTTATGAACATTTTAAAATAATTTAATAACTGGGAGATATTAGGATGATAAGATAAATAATAGATTTTAGGTAAAGATGCATACAGGTTTGAGAAATGAGAGTAGTGAAATGAGGAAAATTATTATTTCCTCATATCCATAAACTGATATCTCATGATCTAGTCTCCCAATTTGCCCTGCACCATCCAGGTTTTAGCAACAAAAGTCCCACATCCCAGGAAACTCCTCAGGTCCTGGGCTAATGGAGAGAGTTGGTTAGAGTTAGTTACCTTCTCAGGGGAAAAAAAAAAATCTGTTTTAACCTGAAATCTACTCATATTTGAAATCAAAATGGCTAGTTGTTCTTCTGTTTATAGTAAAAAATAAATAAATAAAACATTTTAAAAATTAAAAAAACAGTTCTCTCTTTCCTCTTCCTAATTTTTCCTACAAGAAGTTGATAAATTTGAGGCAACTCTTGACAAAACCCACCAAATGGATCTGCTTTTAAGAGTAAAGACATTTTAGCTGGGTATGGTGGTACAGGCCTGTAATCCCCATGGCTCAGGAGGCTGAGGCAGAAGGTTTTCTCGAGTTCAAAGCCAGCCTCAGCAACTTAACAAGGTCCTAAGCAGCTCAGTGAGACCCTGTCTCTAAATAAAATATAAAAAAGGACTGAAGATGTTGCTCAGTGGTTAAGCACCCCTGGTACCAAAAAAAAAAAAAAAAAGGTAAGGACATTTTAACAATAATTCTTCTGGGAAATCAGAACTCTGAGAATAGGAGCAATAAGAACTGGGCAAGATTCCTACCACTAAGGAGCTAGAGTTCCATTTGGTCTCCCGGATGCTGGAGAGTTAACTCCAAGGGAGGATAAAGGTAAGGAGGCGCCCTAATTCTTCCATCAGGATTTGAGCAAGTAATTTCATTGCCCCCAAAACTCTTTTCAAAAGAAAGAATTGACAAAAATCAATGAGGCACCCAAAATTTTATTTATTCCCACTTAAAGGTCAGCTCAGTGGCCCAGAAGCTCTGAGGATAAGAAGGAAATTGCAGAATTCTGTGATTTCTGTGTACGGAAGTCTGGTGAGAATGCCTCACAAGCTTTAGCCAAACAGCTGTTTATCCTAATTCTGCAATCAGAGTTTCAATTTTACAGTGTCAGAGTCTCTGATTTCAAAGACACTAAAATTTTTTTTTAAAAAAAAGTTTTCATATTTATGTATCAAGAAAAAAGTTTGTTTCATAACCTCCCTTTAATGACTTTGACTTTTATTTGATACCAAATCTTAAGATTTATAAATATCTTGAATGTACATAATCATTTTTTCCATGAATTATACCAGGCCAAAAAGAAAAGAAAAAGGAAACTATAAAGGACATTATTTATTATCCCTAGAGCTGTTTATAAGATCAGATAATTCACTGGGCATGGTGGCACACACTGTAACTCAGCGGCTAGGGAGACTGAGGCAGGAGGATCACAAGTTCAAAGCCAGCCTCAGCAACTTAGTAAGGCCCTAAGCAACTCAGCGAGACCCTGTCTCTAAATAAAACATAACAAAGGGCTGTGGATGTGGCTCAGTGGTCGAGTGCCCCTGGATTCAATCCCTAGTACCAAAAGAGTGTGTGTGTGTGTGTGTGTGTGTGTGTGTGTGTCCGATAATTAAAAAAATTATTGGACATGGGGTAGACTTTGGGATCAAGGATGATTTCTCATGGTATGAAGATAATTCAAATTCAGGCATACTTCTCTGCTGACATTGTGGGGTTGGCAAAAGCACATATATGTCACTTCCACATTCTGAACCTCTTTTACTGGGAGATCATCCATATGGCGTGTGGGCACCTAGTCTCTGCTGGGACTTTGCTCCTAACGATGCTAACTCAGGATATATTTCTTTCTCAGCTTTCTTAATGGAGAACAATCTCTTGTGAGATTTAGGAGCAATTTGATTGGAATGCCTGAAAGTTTCATTTCCTTTTCCTGTGATGCACTTTGATGCAAAATGTATAACTAAAAAGGGTGGTCATAAAAATCATTGTAGAAATAAAAATAATAACTTTAACCAGTGCCTACCCCTTGGCAGACATGGAGGATACAAGAGAAGACGTCCATGACTTAAGTTTCCGAATATGTTGATCACACCCTGAATGAATTCTGCAATCCAGGTATCCAGAGAGAGGTTCCCTCCCACTTCCACCACAGTTTGAAACATCACCACTGAAATAATGTTGATGTTTCACTCTGAAGAAAGATGGGCAAAGCAGACAGATGCCAGTTGCCAAGTCCAGCACCTGTATCACAATGGTGCAATTGTAGTTCAGTATACTGATTTTTTTTTTTTTATGATAGTACTGGTGATGGAACCCATGCTAGGCAAGTGCTCTACCACAAGTTACATCCCCAACCCTTGTTATTTCATTTTGAGACAGGGTCTTGCTAAGTGGCCCAGGCTGACCTAGAACTCACCTCTTGCCTAAGCCTCTCAAATAGTTGGAATCACAGGCCTGTGCCACCTCTGATTTCATTTTTTTTTTTTTTTTTGGTACCAGGGATTGAACCCAGGGGCACTTAGCCACTAAGCCGCATCCCCAGCCCTTTTTTATATTTTATTGAGAGAAAGGGTCTTGCTAAGTTGCTTAGGGCCTCAACAATTCACTGAGGCTAGCTTTGAACTTGCTCTTCTCCTGCCTCAGCCTCCTGAACCGCTGGGATTGCAGGAATGTGCCAGTTCTGATTTCATTTTTAAGACATCTCCAAGGCACCTTTATTTTGGGGAGTATATTAAGACTGGATGGGGAGAAATATTTCACAACAGAGAAATAGGAACCAAAGGACCCACATTACCAGTGAAAACCCAGGAGCACTCTTTACCTTCTGGTTTCACTCTCAAAGTCAAAGCCCGATGCTGTAGAAATGGTCCCGATGCTGTCGATTGTGAAGCCAGAACCCTCCGGGGAAATGAAGTACTGTTTTATTGGACAATAAAGAGAAAGAAAAATATTGGAATGATATAGCTGATTCCCTAGAGAGATTCCTCACGCCACCAAGTACTGGGCCTCAGCTGCTCACTTGCAGCCGGCTCTATACGGGATGGATGCTCAGTAAATGCTCACTATGATGAAGGAGGGGGAAGAGGAGCTGGAGGAAGAGGAGGAGGAAGAGGAAGAGGAGGAGGAAGAGGAGAGGAGGAAGGAGAAAGGAAGAGGAGAAGGGATGGGGAGGAGGAGGACCCTGTCTCTAAATAAAATGTAAAAAGATGTGACTCAGTGGTTAAAAGCACCCCTGGGTTTAATACCTGGTACCAAATAAATAAATAAATAAAAAGAAAAATTAGTTGCATTTAGAAAAGCATGCTGACTCTCCCCTGAGAACAGGGATAAATGTGTTAGTTTATTAGTGGTGAGGATGGACATTTTTTTGTGTTAGGGATCAAGATGTGTAGAAAGAAAAAGAAATGAAATACTGGAACATCTGTTCCCCTGACTGTATGTGACAGTACAATGTCTTATCAAGGCACTTTTCATTCATACTACCTTTCAGTGATTCTATCAGGTGCTTCCAATGCATCGCCTTTTGACTCTCATAACTCTATGTCACAGGTACTGATATTATCCCATCTCACAGATAGGAACGCTGAGGCTTAGAAGATTCAAGAGGTTTAGCCCCAGCCTGAGAGTTGAGGTTTCTGTAACTTCGTCTATTGCTTTTCTGCTCCCTGTATTGCATTTGTAAGGGAAAGCTCTTGCCAAAGAGGAAAGATAAGGTCAGGGTTTCTAATGCAGGTGAGAATCAAATGATTACAAAAAGCCAGGGTAAAAAAAAAAAAAAAATCCATGAGAGGATTAATATCGGAAGTTAATTATACCAGTGCTACTGACTTCATCATTATATATACCCAGAGATAATTTAATAGAGAAGATTAAACCCAGGAGGATTGCAAAGTAAGTACCCAAAAAAATCATTTGAAGAAATTAGTGACCTTTAAATTTATTGATTTTGTCATGAATCATCGTGTTCTGATTAATTTAATTTACACCTTCCCTTTCTACCCATATAAATAAGATGGAATTGATCTCTGCTGTTTCTGTAGAACAATGTAGAATATTAGTATTCAGGAACTGCCGGCAAATCTATCACATATTTACTTTTAGGGGCAAACACAGGAATAATGGTGTCTGCCTCATGGAGGAAAGACGGGGATGATTGGTAGTTAAATTACCCGGGAGTGCTCACAAGCCCAAGGTCTGGTTCTATAAAAATATATATGATTTTTTTTTTAAAAGACTCCCGCTTTTATATTTGCAACAACTCAAAATTCAGAATTCCAAACTTAATTTCAGCATTACACTGTTGTGAACAACTGTTTGAAACCATGCACCCTGCGAACTACATGTTATGAGGTTTGATTTTTCACAAAATGAAGTATTCTTTAAATTTAAAAAAGAAAAAAAAATGGATGGCACTGATATGAACAAACTCCTTCGGAGAAGCAGGAGAGGTTTGGAGATGGCGGTTGCTAGGCAGCCAGGACCATCAGTAGGAAAGCCACCTAAATGAAAGATGTCCCGAACAGGAAAGCAGCTCACAGGATGAGAAATTAACTCTCTGGGGCCAGGCAACTGAAGATTCATTGTCACGGGGTTTGTTTTGTTGTTCCTCATTTTCTCGGTAATGACACCATCGACTAGAAAAGAACAATTTCAGCCATCAAAATAACAGTGGTGTTAGGCGCAGTGGCCCACGCCTATAATCCCAGTGGCTGGGGAGGCTGAGGCAAGAGGATCCAGAGTTCAACTTAGCAAGGCCCTGAGCAACTCAGTGAGACCCTGTCTCTAAATAAAATACAAAATAGGGCTGGGGATAGGGCTCAGTGGTCGAGTGCCCTGAGTTCAATCCCTGGTACCCACCCCACCCCACCCCCCCAAAAAATAACAGTGGCAACACTACTCCCAGGTCCTGAGGCGTAAGAACAAATGAGGGGTTGGGGAGGCAAGGAGACTTCAGTCCTTCTGGAAGGACTTATCTTCAGAATCCACTTTATTCTCTTCTCTGAAAGGGCTTGTTCGGGACTATTTGCTCTCACAGTAGCTCAAGGATTGGAAATATCAGAACCTGCCCTTCAGGCCAAACAGAGTAAAGAGAGTTCAGGCCTCAACAACTCAAGTCTCCTTTGAGAGCAGGGACTTAGAAACAATGACTGAATTCTTCAGGGCTCTCTGCACCATTAAAATAAAAACAATAATATCTGTGATGGGGACCGGTTGTTCTGATTGTGTGCATTTTTCTTGAATTATCTCACTCAACCTTTTTTTTTTTTTTTTTTCATACCAGGGGTTGAACCCAGGGGGTTACCTTTTTATATTTTACTTACAGACAGGGTCTCACTGGGTTGCTTAGGGCCTCTCTAAGTTGCTGAGGCTGGCTTTGAACTTTTGATCCTTCTGCCTCAGCCTCCTGAGCCACTAGGATTACAGGCCTGTGCCACTGTCCCTAGCTATCTCATTTAACTCTTGAAATGATGCTGAGATTGGTACTCCTCTTAGTCCTACATTTCAAAAGAGGAAACCAAGGCTTGCAAACATTGAAGAAATGGCTCAAGAATACAGATCTAGTCTTCCTGGGAGAAAAGAAAGATGTCTATTATTTTTTTAATTCTTTAAAAATTTTATGTATTTATGTATTTATTGGTATCAGGGATTGAACCCAGGAGCACTTAACCACGGAGTCACATCCCCAACCCTATTTATTTATTATTTATTTATTTAGAGTCAAGGTTTCACTATGTTGCTTAGGATCTCATTAAGTTGCTGAGGCTGGCCTTGAACTCACAATTCTCCTGCCTCAGCCTCCCAAACCCCTGGGATTACAGGCGTGCACAAAGGCTCATGGCTATTTTTTAAAACATTACAATTGAACCTACTTTTTAAATGTTGCAGGTGGAGACTAAAGAATCTACATGGGTGAAAACATAATTATGGAGCAGCTCAGTGTTACTGTTTACAGAGGAAGAGAAGAGAGGGAACTGAGGGGAGAAAGCGGGAAGGGAAAGACCAGGTAGTCTGAAATGGAGCCCTGAGAAAACTGAATATCACAAGGCCCAGCGGAGGAGGATGAACCAGGAAACAAAACAAGAAAGCATAGTGAGAAGGGCAGGAGAGCCAGGCACGGTGGCACATGCCTGTAATCCCAGCCGGAGGATCATGAGTTCAAAGCCGGCCTTAGCAACTTAGTGAGGCCCTGTCTCTAAATAAAATATTAAAAATGTGATTCTGCAACATGCACCCTTGGAGAAATGATGAATTATGTCCCATCTATGTATGATATGTCAAAGTGCATAAATGCATTCTACCGTCATGTATAACTAATTAAAACAAATTTTTAAAAATTTTTTAAAAAGGGCTGGGGATGGGCTCAGTGGTTAAGTGCTCCTGGTTTTAATCCCTGATACCAAAAGAAAAGAAAAAAAAAGGTAGGAGAAAAATTAGGAGTGCTTACTATCACAAAATAATATTAATATTACCTAATAATTATTGAGTGCTTCGTGCCTAGTACTTTACTTGCATTACCTCATTTAAGGTAGAACCTAACAATAACTCTATTATAAATAAAGAAACAGAGGGACCGAGAGCTCTACCAGGATTCCAAAGAGGGTCAAAGCTCGAGTCCTCTCCTAAGGTGGCTAATTACAAGCTGTGCTGTTCCATGTCTACCTTGGTTTGACCCAGGGAAGAAATGGCTTTCTTAGGAAGAATTAGTACAGAGTGTGATCCGGACCGACTTGTTTTCAAACAGCCAAATATGTTGTGTTCATTTTAAAGCAAAAAGATTGGCTAATGATTTTTGATCTGCTACAAAACCTTTTATTGGAGAGGTACAGGGTTTTTTTTTTTTCTTTTTTAAATCATTATTATTATTATTATTATTATTATTTGTTCTTTTTAGATATATATGACAGTAGTGTTTTGTTGTTGTTGTTGTTTTGTTTTTGGTACTGGGCATTGAACCCAGGGGCACTTGACAACTGAGCCACATCCACAGCCATATTTTATATTTTATTTAGAGACAGGGTCTCACTGAGTTGCTTAGCACCTCACTAAGTTGCTGAGGCTGGCTCTGAACTCTCTCGATCCTCCTGCCTCAGCCTCCCAAGCCACTGGAATTACAGGCATGTGCCACCACCCCCCAGACAGTAGAATGTATTTTGACATATTATACATACGTGGAGTATAACTTATTCTAATTAGGATCCCATTCTTGAGGTGTTACATGATGTGGAGTTACATTGGTTGGGTATTCATAAATGAACATAGGAAAGTTGTGTCCCATTCATTCCACTGTCTTTCCTATTCCCATCCCCCTCCTTTCCATTAATTACCATTGTCTAATCCAATGCACTTCCATTCTCCCCGCCCCTTACTGTGTGTTAGCATCTGCATATCAGAGAGAACATTTAGCCTTTGGTTTATTGAGATTGGCTTATTTCACTTGGCATGATAGTCTCCAGTTCCATCCATTTACTGGCAAATGCCATTATTTCATTCTTCTTAATGGCTGAGTAATATATACACCATATTTGAGAGATACATCATTTAAGAAGAGAGCTTCAAAGTATAACACAGATAAAACTCCAGACACAGTAATTATTGTAGAATAGGCTTGCATGTTCATCCTAGGGCTATGCAAAAAGTACTAGCACTTTACCCTGAGCATTTGCTAAGACAGAAGTACCACGGATCTTGTGCATGACCTTAAAAGTTGTTGAGGTTTCTCATAACATCTTGTTACTTTCCTCCAAAGTATAAGAGCACTCTCTTACATTCACTTTATAAGCGATAGAAATAGTTTTCCACTTACACACTTCCACAGGACCGCTAAGAGCCCTCAATCTTCTTAAAGCAAACTTCTTTATGATTCTAATACATTATCCCAATATCTAGTTAATATACCAGCCCTCGAGCTGGTATAT